AATTAAGTTTGCAGATAATATGAATTTGAGAAAAGTAAAAAATATGTTGAAGTATCGATACACAAAATAGTTTTAGATTTTGGGGAAAGAAGGTTTTAGTCATTTTAATTGCAATATCCAGTCCATTGTGATATAACTATCCAAAAGGCAACTGAGATCTTGAATTGCATTAGTACAAATGTAGAGTAGAATGGGAAGAGTAAGGTCATAATACTGATCCGCACACTTTCCTGAAACCATATTATTCTGTTTAGATTGGGGCACTAGGTCATAGACTTTAATCTGAAGTGGGGTGGAGGAAAGCAACCAGGTCATGAGGCTATTTGAAATACATTGTAAGGAAGAGTTAAAAGGATCTCTATTTTATCTTGAAGGAAAAAGTTGAAACTGTCATATCAATATATATATATATATATATATACACACACACACACACACACACATAAAGGGAGGAGGGGATAGACCATGGTAAATCTTAGAAAGTAGACAAGTTAGAATTGGTGAGAGGACTTCGGAGGCAGACTCCACCTCCTTGAAAATTGGTTCATTATTGGAGTTTTCTTAGAACAGGCAGCCTTGGGAGGTCAAGGGAGATTCTCAGTTATTCCCTTGGTAGGATGTTATAGATAAGGTTGGATTAGATTGTATCAAGTCCAATAGCCTAGTACAGAAGTCGCCAACTGATGTTCCGGACCACTGGTGGTCCGTGCGGTCTGAAAGGTTGGAGACTGCTGGCCTGTGTATAATACATACGGCAGCAGCAGCATATCACCCTACCACCGCCTCCACACACACTCTGGCCACCAAACTTTGATAGATTTTGTGAGTGCTTAAGCTTGAAAAAGTGATCTTTTATTTTTGTGTTTTTTAAAGAATATTGATGAAAGTATTACACAGATATTTCCCCCACCCCCCCACCCCTTCTATCTGTGCCCACGGGTTACGCACTTATGCATACAGGTTCTTTGGTTGGTTGCTGCTATCCCCCTCCCACCCTTCCCTCTGAGATTCCACAGTCTGTTCTGTGCTTCTATGTCTCTGGGTCTATTTTGTTCATCAGTTTATTTTGTTCATTAGATTCCACACAATGAGTGAGATTACTTGATACTTGTCTTTCTCTGATGGGCTTGTTTTACTTAGCATAGTACTCTCCAGGTCTCTCTTCATCCTGTCTCGAAGGGAAAGAGATCTTATTTACTGCTGCATAGTATTCCATGGTATAAATGGAATATATAAATAAATACCACAGCTTTTTTTCCCCTTTAACCGTAGCTGCTGCTATTTCTTTTTTTTTCTTTTTTTTTTTAAACCATAGCTTCTTTATCCACTCACCTACTGATGGGCACTTGGACTTTCCAGATCTTAGCTATTGTAAATAATGCTGCTATGAACATAGGGATGCATATATTCTTTCTGATTGATGTTTTGGGTTTCTTAGAATATATTCCTAGAAATGGGATCAGTGAGTCAAATGGCAGTTCCATGTGTAATCTTTTGAGGAAATTCCATACTGTTTTCTATAATGGTTGCACCAGTCTGCATTCCCTCTAGCAGGGTTCCCTTTCTCCACATTCTCACCAGCACTTGTCATTTGTTGATGGTAGCCATTCTGACAGATGTGACGTGATACCTCATTGTTTTAATTTGCATCTTTCTGATGATCAGTGACTATTTTTTTGTATGTCTCTTGGCCATCTATATGTCTACTTTGGAGAAGTGTCTATTTAGATCCTTTCCTTTGGTTAAGTTGTATGAGTTCCTTGTTTTGGATAGTAACCCATTTTTAAAAATTGATTTCATAGAGGAGGGGAGATAGATAGAAATAGCAATGACAAGAGAGAATTATTGATCGGCTGTCTCTTGCATGTCCTCTCCTGGGGATCAAGCCCGCATGTGTCTTGACTGGATTTGAACCTGGGACCCTTCAGTTTGCAGGCAGATGCTCTATCCACTGAGCCAAACTGTTTTGTAGATGGTTTCTTTTGTTGTGCAGAAGTTCTTTATTTTGATGTAGTTTCAATATTTATCTGTAAACATATGAGAGATGTCTGAGATTTTGCTGCCTATAGTTTCTTCTAGGATTTTTATGGCTTCACAACTTAGATTTACTGTATTTTTCGGACCATAAGACGCTCCGGACCATAAGACGCACGTTTTTAGAGAAGGGAAATGAAGAAAAAAAGATTCTGAAACAAATAGTGTCCTAAAATATTTTATGTGCATTAAAACCCAACATCACAGTCATAAACACATGTAATCAACCCTGTAAAGCAAACAGCAGCATTTAGAACCATTTTAGAGCCGGGCAAGCACACAGAGACCACACAGAGCCGGGCAAGTAAAAAAACTTTTTTTTTTATCTATTTGAGTGTATGGTCTAAGTTAGTAGTCTAGCTTCTTTTTTTTTTTCATCTGTCCAATTTTCCCAACGTCATTTATTGAAGGACTCTGTCTTGACTCCATTGTGTGCTTTTGCTTCCTTTGTCAAATATTAATTGAGCATAATTGCTTGGGTCTATTTCTGGGGTCTCTGTTTTGTTCCATTGATTTATATACCTATTCTTGTGCAGGTACCAGGCTGTTTAGATTACGGGGCTTTGCAGTATAACTTGACATCTGATATTGTGATCCCTCCAACTTTGTTCTTCTTTCTCAAGATTGCTGTGGGTATTCAGGGTCTTGGTTCCATGTTAATTTTTGGAGTATTTGTTCTAGATCTGTGAAATATGCTGTTGGTATTTTATTAGGGATTTTATTGAATCTATAGATTGTTTTGAGTGGTATGAACATTTTAATGATGTTAATTCTCTCCATGAACATGATATATTCATCCACTTATTTATATCTTTCTCCATTTCTTTTTCCAATGTCCTGTATTGTAATTTTCTGAGTACGGTACAAGTCTTATCTCCTCGGTTAAGTTTATTCCTAAGTATTTTAATTTTTTTGTTGCAATGGTAAATGGGATTGCTTGTTTAATTTCTCTTTCTGAGAATTCATTATTGGTGTATTAAAAAGCCATCGATTTTTGGGTGTTGATTTTGTATCCTGCTATATTGCCAAATTCATTTATTAAATCTAGTAGTTTTCTAATGGGATCTTTAGGGTTTTCTATGTACAATATTATGACATTGCAAATAATGAGAGTTTTACTTCTTTTCTATTTGGATGCCTTTTATTTATTCTTGTTTGATCGCTGTGGCTAGGACATCTGGTATTATGTTCAATAGGAGTAGTGAAAGTGCGCATCCCTGTCTTATTCTTGTTCTTAGGAGAAATGGTTTTAGTTTTGCCCATTGAGAATTGATGTTGGCTATCGGTTTGTCATATATGGCCTTATTATGTTGAGGTATGCTCCCTGTATTTCCACTTTGCTGAGAATTTTTATCAAAAATGGATGTTAGATTTTGTCAAATGCTTACATGTGATTTTTGTAAGCTAGAGAAAGATGTTAAGAAAACTAGGGGTCCATGCACAAAATTTGTGCAAGGGGCTTAGACACACGCCCCCCCCCCCCCCCCTGTGGCCACCTCTGCCTTGGCCCCTGCCTGCCACCGAGGCTTTATCCAGAAGGTTGTTTAGAAGGACGTCCTATTCTAATTAGCATATTATATTTTTATTATAGATAGTAAGGAAGAGAAAATACATTTACAGCACTATACTATTAATACTGTAAATTTATGTCATCTGTTTACAAGATAAATTGTAAGTGGACCTCATGCACTTCAAACCCATGTTATTCAAGGTTAACTATAATTGAAACTTACTTTTAAATTTTGTATCTTGACTCATTGAGGCAGTAAATTGAGAAGGTAAAATAAAGAAAAATAGAAGGCAACATTCCTTAAGAGCCTTTCTTTTTTCTCTAAAATCAAGGGTGTGTCTATACAGTTCAACATCACTTCATACATGTTCTCAGAACTCATTCCTACACCTATCATTTTTGCATATTATATAGTAGTTCTACCAGTCCTTGGATTCTGACTATCCTGTCTTAATTTAAGTGGTGTCTTAATCTTTATTATAAAACCCTTTGCTCAGTGTTTGGTGGTTGTTTCTCTTAATCTTTTCAGTTCACTTGTTCAGTATCTTTAGTTACAGTGCATCTAAGGCTCTTTGAAAGCCAGGCTATCTGGACACTTCTATACAGAGTGCTACGAAAGTTGGTTTACAGTTGTTCGTATGGAAAATAATAATGCACGAACAAACTGTATATTGAGTATTCACAACTGTAAACCTACTTTTGCCTCACCCTGTATATAAAGTAGGGAAATTCAAATTAAGGTTTGTTTGAGATTATAAGAATCTTGAATGGGTCAGGTTTTTTCTTCCCCTTCATAAGGCTTAACTTACTTTCATTACTATTTATATCTTATGTAATTGTATTATAATATTTAAAAATCACTGCATCTTGAAACAACTCAATAACCTTGTTTATCAGGTATACATATGTGTATATAGCAGTAAGAAAAACTTATATGCCCTGGTCAGGTAGATCATTGGTTAGAGCGTCCTGATGTGACAAAGTTTTGGGTTCAATGAATATATAAATAAATGAAAATCAAATCCATGTTCCTCTCTCCCACCCCTCCCTCTTTCTAAAATCAATTAATAAGAACAAAACAAAAAAATATGTGAAGTCTTTTGGCTGAGATGGGAATTTGTTCTTAAAAATATATATACACTTTATTGATTTTTTTACAGAGAGGAAGGGAGAGAGAGAGAGAAACATCAATGAGAGAGAAACATAGATCAGCTGCCTCCTGCACACCCCCTACCACAACCATGGCCTTTACTGGAATCAAACCTGGGACCCCTGAATTCGCAGGCCGACGCCCTCGCCACTGAGCCAAACCAATCAGGCCTTACATGGGAATTTGTTGAAAAATTTTTTTCAGAGAGAGAGTTCTAATTCTATTTTAGGAAAAAGAAATGTGTATGCTAATATCTTAGAAAGTCCTACATTTTTATTATCTTAATTAGAATTTTTCTTTCTACAGAAATAGGAAGGTCGTTGATTATTCACAATTTCAGGAATCTGATGATGCTGGTAAGTTTTGTGATTTCAATAAATTATGAGTTGGACCCTACTAGTGGGAGAATCACTAGTTTATGTACTTTTTATAAGGCTTTTGGAATAATTTTTTAATTTTTCATATTTAGACTGTTTATGCATCTAAATTACATCAAGATCTGTGTCACCCAAATAAAACTTGAACTTGCATGGATTTTAAGTTTTACTAAGTAAATTATTCATGTAGACATTGAATACCTTTTTTGTTTTTGTTTTGCAGTCCAAAGTTTTAAGTGTGCAATTATTCTAATGCAGTGCTTATTGGTTAATGTATCCTATAATCACATTTTAAACTTGTACCTTTTAATAGGGCGTATTTTTGTTTTTGTGTAATAAAGTAACTAGATAAGTATTTTGTGAAACAACTTTGATTTGTGAACTGACTCATTATAGAATGAGTAGTGTATCTTAAGTCTTAGCCATAACAAGTTTCTATAGAATATGGTGTTCCTAATCTTCCTATTTTCCAGATGCATTTACTATTTTTTTCCTTTTTTTAACTCTAATTTTACTTTATAAAGATAATATGTGCTCTTTGGGAAAACTTAGAAAATGCCTAAGGAAGAGTTTTTTGTTTTTTTTTAAACCCACACAATTCAACCTTTCAGAGGGAGTACTAACATTTACTCTTTGTATACCATAAGTGTCTATAGATGCAAGCGAGATAAAAGCGTCTTTGGATGCCTGGCAGTTAACTGGTTATTAAATGCTTGCTAACTGTACACTTGTAAATTTAATCCTCAGAACAATACTATTAAAATAGGATATATTTTATTATTTCCATTTTGCAGGTAACAAAACTGAAGCAGAGTTATTACTCAAGACCCATTAGCCAACAAATGGCCATTTTAACCATTTTGTTGAAAAAGCTTTTGATTTTTTCCCCTTTAAAATGTTTTTATTGATATTTGAGAGAGGGAGAGATAGAGACACGGAAGAGAGAGAAAAATCATCCATCGGTTGCCTCTTGCCGCTGAACCATGCTTGCTGGGGTCTATCCAGCAACCCAGGCATTGTACCCTGGTCAGGAATCGAATCAGAGATCTCCTGTTGCATGGGTCTATGCTCAACCACTGAACCACACTGACCTCTTTAAAAATCTAGGTGAGGTCCTACTGTAGGATTTTTGGGTTCTCTCCTCTATCATATCACCCTTACTTACTATTACCACCCCCCACCCCCGCCCCCACTTAGTATCTGCCTCCTGTTATTAGAAGTTGCTTGAAAAATTCGGATTAATGGTTGTATGATATTCCATAATGGAATATATAATGTATCCAACCTTTTAATAATTGCTGAAGCTCTGTGTATAATGATGTAGCAAACACTTTTGGAAATAATCACCTTTTAAGGTGGGATAATTTTCTTTAATAGGGTTTTTGAAATTAAAGTTATTTTGCATAAGTAAGTGGAACAACAAACCGATGGTTCTCTTTCCCTCTTTTCTACTCTAAGATCAAATTTTTAAATATATTTTTATTGATTTCAGAGAGGAAGGAAAGGAGGAATGGAAACATCAATGATGAAAGAGAATCATTGATTGGCTGCCTTCTGCATGCCCCTTACTGGGGATTAAACCTGCAACCCCGGCAAGTGTCTTGATTGGGAATAGAATGTGACCTCCTGATAACATAGGTCAGCACTCTGTCACTGAGCTCTGCCAGTTGGGCTAAAATCAAAATTTTTAAAAAAGAAATTAATTGGAGGTATTTTTTATTAAGTGCCAGAGTATACTATACTTACTACTTTAATTTAAAAGTAATGTACTTGATAACAGGACTTATATTAGCATTGTAGAATCAAGGGTTCTTTACATTCTAAAATGCTTATACCTTATTACTATAATAGTTTTAAAATAAATATAAAGATGTGGAAACATGGGGAAATCTTTATTAAATTAAAAGGGTAGGATATACAAATGATGAGATATTTGGCTAAGGATATATTAAAACATAAACATGAAGACTAGAAGGTAATATACAGAAATGGAAATGATAAGGTGGTGAGACTAAGAAAGAAAAACTTTATTTTTAAAATGTGTGTGTTTTTTAAATTTATTTCAGAGAGGAAGGGAGAGATAGAAACATTAATGATGAGAGAGAATCATTTGTCAGCTACCTCCTTCATGCCTCACAACCAGGGTTTGGACCCACAATCTGGGCATGTGTCCTGACGGGAATTGAATGGTGAACTTTTGGTTCATTGATCTATGCCCATGCTGGCTAGACTATTTTATTTTTTCATGAAAAAATAGTTATTTGAAAAATTTTGTCTCTCGTTACTTAAAGAGCATGGGAGATAATTATCTCAGAAAATACATTGGTAATTTCTACATGTACAAATCATAACATAGTTTATTGATTTTTGAAAAATGCTGTGTAGATGAAGATTACGGAAGAGATTCGGGTCCTCCAGCTAAGAAAATTCGATCATCTCCACGAGAAGCTAAAAATAAAAGGCGATCTGGGAAGAATTCACAGGAAGATAGGTAAAGAGCATTGTTTTTGGAAAGAATTGTTAATTGGTTCCTGATTACTCTGTCAACCACTCTGATAGGGTAATTTCTGATCTCTAAATTGGGAGAATCTTCATTTCTTTTGGGAAGGCACTTACTGAGGAAACCCAAGCCTCCTGCTTGTTGCAGCTCCATGGCCCCAGCTATCTTGGTTGGGTTAATTTGCATACCCACTCCTGATTGGCTGGTGGACATGGCTTGTGGGTGTAGCAGAGCTATGGTCAATTTGCATATTACTCTTTTATTAGCTCCGTGGCCCCAGCTATCTTGGTTGGGTTAATTTGCATACCCACTCCTGATTGGCTGGTGGACATGGCTTGTGGGTGTAGCAGAGCTATGGTCAATTTGCATATTACTCTTTTATTAGATAGGATTCCCTTGGACTATATATATATATATATTTTTTTTAAATTATTTTTTAAACATCTTTTAGTATTTTATTGTTTTTTTACAGAGAGGAAGGGAGAGAGAGATAACAGTTAGAAACACTGATGTGAGAGAAACATCAATCAAGGTACGTGGCCTTGACTGGAATTGAACCTGGGACCTTTCAGTCCGCAGGCTGATTCTCTATCCACTGAGCCAAACCGGTTTCGGCTTAATGTATTTTTATTGACTTAAGAGAGGAAAGGAGAGGGAGAGATAGAAAAAAACAAAAAAAAACATCAATAATGAGAGAGAATCATTGATTGACTGCCTTCTGCATGCCCCACACTGGGGATTGAGCCACAGCATGGGCATGTGCCCTTGACCGGAATCAAACCTTGGCCCTTCAGTCCACAGGTCAACACTCGATATCCATTGAGCACAACTGAGTAGGGCCACTCAGACCATATTGTATTGATTTTTCCATTGGTCTCTATATAAAAGTTTAGCTTTTACTTGACTTTGCTGTAATGTGACTGACGGCTCAATGGTTTCTATAAACTCAATAATAAAAGAACTAGAGAAAAATGATATAATTATTCATTGTTGTCATAGACTTGGAGATTAAATGTTTAATTTATATAAAACATATAGAACAGTCACAGGTTTTAAGAATTACAGTGTTTCTAGGGTTAGATTAATTTAGTAAAGAAATATGTTTTTTCTCTTTGCTTAGGTTCTGTAGCTTGTCTTTTGAATGAGGTCTAGATTATGGGAAATACCAAGAGGTTTACAAGACTTGCTGTTTAAGAAAGAAAAGCTTATGTATGACTTTTTTTGTTTCTTTGTGAGAATTTCTCATAGAATCATAAAGTTTTCGCATTGAAGAGTACCAATTAATTTGCCTGAGATCATAAAACTAATTAATGACAAAGACAGGGCACTAAAAACCAGATTCCTGAGCTAAAATTTGTGAGGACATAAAATGTGCATTTTTGTGACTTTAAAATAGTTTTATAGTACTTTTCACTGAGCTTTCCCCCCCCACCCCCCACCAGATGATATTTTTTAATTGATTTTTAGAGAGGGACAGAGAAAGAGAGTGAAACATCAAGATACATCAGTCATACTCTCCCAATTTTGGTGGGGAGGCAACCTAATTTTTGGAGGCCTTGCTTTGGCAAGGCTTGGCGCGGGGATATATACATCAGTTACTTGCTTCCCAGATGTGCCCCGACCAGAAATCGAACCCGCAAACTTTTGGTGAACGAGCCACCTGGCCAGGGCTCGTTGAACTTTGCAATTCCGTATTTTATTTTGCAGTGATCTTGAGCTCAGTTTTATTTCCTCCAGGATATAAGCAGACCCATGTGCTCATATTTCTGTTGTGTAGAAATGTCAGAGGCAAAATATATATAGTTAATATTTTGTTTTAGATAAATATTTAGGCATATTTATGTAAAATTGTAGTATTTTTATAGTCTTCCTTTAATAACAGAATTTTTGTTTTTCTGTTAATTGTCACCAAAGGATATTTTCCCATTGATTTTTAAGGAGAGTAGAAGAGAAAGACAGAGAAACATTAATGTAAGAGAAATACATCAATTGTTTGCCTTCTGCTCGAGCCCCAACCAGGGCCCAGGCGAGGGAGCAGCCTGCAACCAATGCCCTTGATGGGAATTGAACCCAGGACCGACACTATTCACTGGGCCAAAACGTCTAGGGCACAATATTTTTATTAAATATTTTTTAGCTAGGCAATTTCTACAGGTGAGAGATTTTCAGCCTGTGTTGAGATGCCTTCCTTTTTCCCTTTGGGTTTTTTGAAACAGTATTTTTCAAAAGGTAAAAATTATGCTTATAAGGTAAAGTAGGGAAATGGAAACTCCTCAATATCATTTTAATTTTATACATAAAGGTTTTCTTCAGTGTTCCTCAGTCACATACCAGAGATCTGTATTCACTTAGGATTTGATCTAATAACTTAAATGTCTTACTCCTTTCCTTTATAGTGAAGACTCAGAAGAAAAAGATGCAAAGACTAAGAAGGATGATTCTCACTCAGCAGGTAATAAACAGTATTTCTTTTTATGTACTTATTTAGTAGACATTTTAGTAAGTGGTTTTATAGTAATGCTTGGCATTGTAAATATTGGCATTACAAAGATGCCTTCGTCTTTAAAGAGCTCATAGTGATTTTCAATCCAGGTGGCGTATTACAGTCACCTGTGAAGGTTTTGGCGGGGGAAGGGGGGAGTTTGATTCTTACAGCATCCTCTGCTCGCAGAATAAAACCACACTTGACCACATGCATTTATTTTTTTTTAGGCTTTGTGGTTTCTGGCAGATATTCTCCTTATCAGAGCTAGTTTGCATTGGCTTTTCCAGGTAGTTGTCAAACACAACTCTTAGATCAGTGCATCATAATTTTGATATTGCAGAGGACAGTGAGGATGAAAAGGAAGATCATAAAAATGTGCGCCAGCAACGGCAGGCAGCCTCTAAAGCAGCTTCTAAACAGAGAGAGATGCTCCTGGAAGATGTGGGCAGTGAAGAAGAACAGGAAGAAGAGGACGAGGCGCAGTTCCAGGAGAGTGCGTAACGTTGGCTTGTTGTTTGGTCATGATTGCAGTATGTGATCTTGATTATTTTGGCGTTTTGGGGGGGATGCTGGATGTTACAAACAGTCCCTTAAATTACTCACTGTTAGAAGAGATGATGGTCTTGACATCTGTTGATTTTGTAAAGGTTCAAAGATTCTCATGACTGCTGTCCATTGTTTGTATTCAAATATTTAATAAACAGTTGTTAGAATAGTATTTCCATGGCAGATGTTGTGATTAAGATTTGCATTTTGGCCTGGTATAGAAGGGTGTAGACCTCCTCCCCTGACAAAAAGTGTTAATAACAGAATTGAGATGTTTCACAGGTTACTCAGATGAATAATTTTCTTACTTCATTTATTCATAATTGGACCAAACACACTTAAGTTGATTCGGTTTCATTTCTCTGGTCTCACCGATCTATATGGGAATGATATAATTGCCAAAAGTTTCTGATGGCTTCAGTTTTCATTCAGATTGTTTTATCCCTTCCTGTCTGTCTGTCTGTCTGTCTGTCTTTCTCTCTCTCTCTCTCTCTTTCTTTCTTTCTTTCTTTCTTTCTTTCTTTCTTTCTTTCTTTCTATATATATTTTATTGATTCCTTACAGAGAGGACGAGAGAGGGATAGAGAGTTAGAAACATCGATGAGAGAGAAACATCAATCAGCTGCCTCCTGCAACCGAGGTACATGCCCTTGATCGGAATCGAACCTGGGACCCTTGAGTCTGCAGGACGACGCTCTGTCCACTGAGCCAAACCGGTTTCGGCTATCCCTTCCTGTTTTTTATCTACTCTTCAAGTCAGTCATGTAACCCTCATGTGTGTGCTAACCCCATTGTACAGGTGGGGCCAGTGACAACTCCAACCAAACAGGTAGAATAGCTGAAAATAGAATTCAGTAGTGTTTGACTCCCAGATCCCATCCTCCAGTCATTCTTAGCGTTCTCTCCCTTTGTTCACTTGGAAGGATATATACATTTAAGTTGGACGTTGAAATTCTTCTTTCCTCTCAGAAGATTCCGGCAGCGATGAAGATTTTCTAATGGAAGACGATGATGATAGTGATTATGGCAGTTCAAAAAAGAAAAACAAAAAGGTGGTTAAGAAGTCCAAACCTGAGAGAAAAGAAAAGAAAATGCCCAAACCCAGGCTAAAGGCTACAGGTGAGGTCTGCAGAATTAAATTATTGCTTTGAGAAATTTCATGAACTAATAAACTTTCTCTACAGAAATTCCTCATTAAGGCTTGACATTGGCCACATAGTTAATTAAGAATAAATGAATTCTGAAAGCATTCTGTTTTCTAAACCTGGAAGTGTCACTTATTTATTAATAAGGACTCCAGACTATCCAAGAGCCTGGTGGCTTAGCACTGTTATATATGTGTGTGTGTATATGTATTGCAATGAAGAGGGGGAGAGAGAAACATCAATGATGAGAATCATTGATCAGCTGCTTCCTGCATGCCTTCCACTGGGGACTGAGCCCACAACCTGGGCATGTGCCTTGACTGGGAACTGAACCATGACCTCCTGGTTCATAGGTCAATGCTTAACCACTAAAACATGCCGAATGGACTTAGCCCTGTTCTTTAACAGTGGCTGAACATAAGCAAGATTTGGGAATGACCTACCGTGTTTCCCTGAAAATAAGACATCCTCCGAAAATAAGACCTAGCGTATGGAAAGATAAGACATCCCCTGAAAATAAGACCTAGCACAACTTGGGGAGAAAAAATTAATGTACGACACTGTCTCATTTTCGGGGAAACGGTATGTGTCAGGCACGGTGTTAGAAATACTGCATTGCCGAATTCGGTTTGGCTCAGTGGATAGAGCGTTGGCCTGCGGACTGGAAGGTCCCAGGTTCGATTCCGGACAAGGGCATGTACCTTGGTTGCGGGCACATCCCCAGTATGGGGTGTGCAAGAGGCAGCTGGTCAATGATTCTCTAATCGATGTTTTTAACTCCGTCCCTCTCTCTTCCTCTCTGTAAAAAATCAATAAAATATATTAAAAAAAGAAATACTGCATCAACATAGCTATTGCTGTCCTTTCCCCCAACAGTATCCCAACTCCAGCAGTTAGTAAAGACTTGAAATTGTGGAAATGTACATCTGTAGTAATTCATTTAAGTTCTGTGTTTTGATCCTACATCATCCTCCGTGCTCTCAGAATAAAACCACACTTGACCATATATTTTCCTTGAGGCCTTGCAGTTTCTGGCAAATGTTCTAATCAGAGCTAGTTTGTCATTAAACCAGAAAGCTAAACTTGCCTTTTTTTTTTTTTTTAACTTATACTTTGTTGAGAATATAAATGAGCATTTTAAAAAATATTTTTATTGATTTTTTACAGAGAGGAAGAGAGAGGGATAGAGAGTTAGAAACATCGATGAGAGAGAATCATCGATCAGCTGCCTCTTGCACACCCCCCACCGGGGATGCACCTGCAACCAAGGTACATGCCCTTGTCCGGAATCGAACCCGGGACCTTTCAGTCCGCAGGCTGACGCTCTATCCACTGAGCCAAACCGGTCTGGGCTTGTTTTGTTTTTTAATGTTACTATTTTTTAATCATCTGAGGACATGCTTAGAGAAAGGGGGAACTATGGAGAGAGAAACCCTGATTGGTTGCCTTCCACCTGCTTCCTGACCAGGAATTGAACTAGCAATCTTTCAATGCATGGGACAACATTGAACCAACTGAGCCACTCCAGCTAGGCTAGATTTACTTTTTTTTTCTTTTTTTTCTTTTTTATTTTTTTTTAATTCTGGCTAATGGAACTGATGATTTTTAAACCTTTTACTCATCACTTCTTACTGTTGGGATTCCTGGAAGTGTCAGAAAAGTTATTTGATAGCTTCAGTTTCTACTTAGGTTATCATAGTCTTTCTTCTTAGCCCACTTTTTAAACATAAATACCACTTAGTTCACAAGCCACTAAGGATGATGCACAGCAAGCATGTCAAACTGAAAGGCTAACAGGCCAAATAAACAAGGTTTAAGTTTATGTGGGCCACAAAAATAAATAAATAAAAGCTTAATTTTCTTAGAAATGTAGGTGTTTTTTTTTTTTATAGAGACATGCTGAAATAAAGGAGTAATTGTTAACATAAAATAATATTATAGAACATTTTAATAAAAATTAATATTTTTTCTTGAACATTAAACGTCGCAGAAATCTATTTTTCTTGTTCTCCGAAAGCAAAATATTTCCTATTGTGCACACCAAACAAGTCAGTCCAAGACTAATGACATTGTAGTCGGCTGTTAAAATATTTGCTGCTAGTATTAGTGGAGAGATATGGCATGCCTGTGTGTAAGGGAAATCAATGCGACACGATTATAGTAATCATTAGCGAATGTGGTAGTTCATTATTAATAATTATGTATAACAGGATATGTAAAAATTAAGTTACAAAATTTTTATTAAACCATTTCTTACATAACATTTATATTGGCTGGGCCGCAACAATATTTGTTGTGAGCCCGTGAGTTTGACATGCTTGATGTACAGTATCCTGTCTATTATAAGCGTTACATGACAGTACAGGTAAGAGTGTTGGAAACCAGTAAGTTGGGAGGGTTGTCTTTATAGATTTTATTCTTGTAGATTGTGTTATTTCTTGCTAGTTTTTATTAAAGATGTTTTCTTCCCTTCCCAAAATTGGTCTTTTTCTTCTCTCAGTGACGCCAAGTCCTGTGAAAGGCAAAGGGAAAGGTCGCCCCACAGCTTCAAAGGTGTCAAAGGAAAAGACTCCTTCTCCCAAAGAAGAGGACGAGGAGCCGGAGAGCCCCCCGGAGAAGAAGGCCTCCGCCAGCCCTCCGCCCGAGAAGTCTGGGGACGAAGGGTCTGAAGATGAAGCCCAGTCTGGGGAGGATTAAAAGTGATGATGGTTTGGGAGAGATTTTATTTAAAAAAAGAAAAGGAAAAAAAAAAAAAGGAAAAAAGGGGCAAAAAAAAGAAAACTACATAAGATAGAACGTGGTTTTGGCTAGGGCTTTGACTCGTGGGCTTTCAGTGCTTTTTTTTCTTTTGTTGAAAATAACTTTTTTTAAAACTTTTTTTTTTTTTTAAGAAAATCTTTGTATGTTTAATTTACCTTTTTGTCTATTGGTCTTTGCTACTACCCTCCTCTCCCTCCCTTTTTCAATGAAAGCCATGTCAAGTTAATCACTGGATTGACTGCTTCATCTTTTTATTTTTAAAGGATGGTATACCACAGTTGTAAAGCAATAAGATTTGAGATGAACACTATGGAAATGTTGCTTTTTGCTAAACAGTAGCAGGTTGAGCAGTAATCAAAAAACATAGAAGGATTTTAGTTAAAAATGATTGCTTCTTTCTCTACTTGGACTTTAAAAAAATTGTCATCTAATACAGGTTTATTTTTTACCTTGCGAGGCAAGGCAGGGAGTGGGTAACCTGACCTTGTTTGAGAGAGTGGTTTTTTGTTTTTTTTTTTAATTTCATCACTTGTTATCTCAGAGATTCAGAGCCAGTGATCCTTTTATTCTACTACGTCTTTAAGGAATTAAAAAAAGGAAAAAAAACAAGGAGCGCCAAAACTTAAATCACACTTAATTTCCTAGTTTACTCTCTGATGGTTCATGTTTTAAAATATATATGTATCCTGTTTCTTGGATAAATTTTTACCAAGGGTAAAAAAAACAAAACAAAACAAAAAAAAACCCTAGAATTTAAATGGCAAGATCTATATATCATAGTGGATTTCTTCTCAAACTGACAATGTTTAGGTTATAAGCAAATAAACTACCGGTTAATGTGAAACTTGTTCACAAAGACTTGAGATTTTTTTTTTCCTTTATGAAAACAGAGAATTGAACTTCTTTCATGCCATAAATGTGTGTGCATTCAGATTCCATGAACTGTGCTGTTTTTATTTGGGGATAGAACTTTTCTTTTTCATACACCTATCTTCCCATTTCTTCATAGAATGGTATGAAGTGCATCTCTCGGCTTCCTGCTATCATGTAGGATGCTCCTGCAGACCCACCCCCGGTGCCTGCCAGCCCTGCTGGAGGACATGATTTCTCCTGGCTCTGTCTTCACCTCCTTCATGTCCTGTGTTTGATGGGAGTGTGTTAAATGGTGCTCCCACACGTTTAATTTGCTGTTTTTCTTTTTACTGGTGTGTCTGCTTACTGCTCCTATTGTTTGGAGTATAAGAGGTTCCGCAGGGCTAGAGAAAGCATGCATTCAGGAGACCTACGTGCGGTTAACAGACTTAACATGCTTATGAAAGCAGTCAGGAGATAGACCATGTGCGTTCCATCCTCCACATCCTGATACCATGAGCTTCTTTGGAAGCAAGGGTTAAGGGCCTTAGCGTGCTAAGAAGTTGAAAAATTAGTGAAATTTAACCTCTGCCTTTTTATCTAGATTTGCTTCCTCAATATTTTACTTAATGCAATTTTCTTTTAATTACAGCATATTTTATTCTCTGACAACATAGCTTTCTTACAGATGTTTCTAGAACAAAAGGTTATTTAAGGAATAGTTTTACTCTGATTATTAAGACACTTTAAGAAGTATTCTCTGTGATTAAAAAACACAAAACACCTAGTGACAGTTGCATCGCTGTTGCACTGTGTGTTAATGAATTTGAAGATTTTAGTACTTGGCCAAAAAATGCAAAGCTTAACTATAAGTAGCAGTTGGATCGTTATCTAAAGGTTATTCTGTTTGCTTTAGTGGGTTTGTTTAGGTACCCAAATTTAACAAGATATGTGTTCTAGCAAGAGATCTCAGTGTTTCCACCATGCACTTCTATGTATAGGGGTTTATAACTTTGTTTTACATTCCTAGTAACATTTGGGCTTTTCTTAAATTATGTTTTGTGAAAATCAGTGGTGGGCAAGGGGGTCTTTTTAAAACTTTAGCCTCGGTATTTTATGTAACACAGACTCTTAAATATATATTAATCTGCACTAACATCTCTGTGATACAGGCACATATTTTAGAGGTAATTTGCCTTCTATTGTAAGTTCTTTGTGTGTATTTGGTTGGGCTTTTTGTTTGCAATTTCTTTTTAACAAATTAATTCGTGAGATTGAAAAACATTTATATTTCTAATAGACTGGACAAAAGGATCTGTGTCCCCAAGTGAGAGGCTCTGAATGACCTTTGTTTTCTCCACTTTTTATTGATTTAAAACATTCTAGTCTTCCCTTCAAATCATGCATGCAAATAAGAGGGTAGCTGTGGTGTCTGAACTGGAAACCGGTGCTCAATAGTCAGGCTTGCTGTGATGTCAGGCTGGGTTACAAGCTGTAAACTGATGGTGGCTGGTCATTGGCACCACCCTTGACTAATCTCCCTCTTTTCCCTGGCGTGCCTATGATGAGGTGGCAATAGCTTTCATGGCCTTGTTTGCAGAGCTCAGGAAATGGGACATTAACCTCGAAGGTGCTTGTTTGTGCTAACGGAATTCTCAGTGTTAGCTCTGTTAGGTTTACCTCTGAAACATGGAGTTCGGCAGCTGTGCCGACTGACACTACATTCTAGTTCTTAAGATTTTTTCCTAGACTTCTCAACACACACACACACACACACACACACACACAACTTGACATGGGTAGTTTACATTTAAGTCTGTCTGTAATTTGCTGCTGCTTTTAGATTGGAATCAATGGAGTAGACCCAAAGGATACATTTTAATTTTAGTAATGGTAGATTTGTCCTGCTTTCCACAAACCTGCCTTTCATATCTCCACTAAAGTAAAGTTAATGGGTGTGTCCTCCTGTAGGGAGGTAATGAGTGGAAGTCTTTTTATCTCGAAGAGTGGTTGATTTCCCATAGAGGAGGTTTAATGTCTTTTCTTTTCCATAGTAACTGTTTGCCCCAGGTTGAATTCTCATTTCAATACTTATTCTTGGGACTGGTTCAAAAAGCATTTTCTTACAGGTAACTAATCAAGAGGAACTGGAAGTTATAATCCAGTAAGGTTTTTGACACTCTTGTGAATATATGTGGTCAGCTAAATTGAACTTGACACTTTTCCCCCAAACATTTCTTTGTTTAACCATGACCATTCAGGTAACAAGTGGATTTTTAGAGTACTGGTTGGAGAAAGGGAATCTTTCTTTAGAAGATGCTTTGAGAGTGTTAGGCAAGGGCAGAAGTTGACACCAGGAGTGACGGGGAAGCTTGAGGAAAGGCCATGTGGCCGTTGTCACTGTGGTGAAGAAGGGGAGTTGGAATGGTCTTGTGCCCCCTTCACCTGCGGCTGCTCTGAGAAGCAGAAACAACGTCACCTCCGGAGTTTACAAAGGGAGAGCCTGGGCTCCGGGGCCCTCAGGCATAAACACCGAAGTAGATGAGTAACAAGCTTCATGCCAAGGGATAGAGAAAAGCTAAAAATCCTGTTGCTCTTGAGGTTAGAAAATTGTCCTTTCCTCTACGCTTGGCACTGGGTTTATTTGTATAGGAGTTAGTTTATTTGAATATTAGGACATCAACCCATCTACAGCCAAATTTGAATCTGCAAACCATATTCCCTTGGTCTTGGGATAAACTTGGTATAAAACGACTCTTTTTGAATCTCAAATCTCTAAGTCACACTTTTTTTTTTTTTTTTTCAAAGCCTAGTTCACAAAATTCACAGTGGTGCTGACTGTGTATTAACCACTATTGACAAAAGTCCCCTAAACCTGCCTGTTGCCATGCCAACGGAGTGACTGAACTGGTGACATCTGTTGGAGCATGCTTTGTGTGGATGGAGAAATGCCACCATTGTGCATACACTTTGTACATCAGGGTTGAAGGGGTTTTCTAGATTTATGGGGGGAGGGTAAAATTGTTTTTTGTTTTTGTTTTTTGATGGGGAGTGGGTATAGTACTTAGCTTACCCCTAAATAACATGTATAAAAACCCCTGAAGTATTGTGTGGGTGTGCGTGTGAGTGTGTGTATATGTCTGGCGATTAAACCTTTGTCTTCTGGAAATTAGTGGATTCTTTTTTTCCTCCAGAAGTATTTGTTACAAGATTTGTAAATAAGAGCTCTACTTAGTTTGTTTACCATGACCGTGTTGCAGCAAACCTTAAATACCTAACTCCTGTAAGGTTTAAGGAAAGACTTGAAGACTTGTCAGGTTAAGCAGCAGCCACGTTCTCAATAATTGTTTGCCTTGATTCATCTTTCAGACTTCATTTTGCCAGCTCTAAAATCCCCAGTCTTCCTTAATTTTAGTCCTTAATCTTTTACGTTCTGAGCAGGAAGGGTAAATGTGTTTAATTTTGAGACTGGGGCATCCCTTTCTTAATACTACGATGTTGCTAGATACGTGATCAGACACCAGAGGGTTGGGCGTTCTTGCAATACCTTAACAGTGCTGAAATCTGCAGCATGGTACTAAGGAAATTCAAGTTTGAATGTAACCACTTTATTTAAAAGTTGTGTTTTGTTTTTTTTAATTTAAATGAAATGGGGTTGAAATGAACATGATTTTGTTCGTGAATTATAGATGGAACATACATTGGTAGACGTGTGATGGTCTTTTGTGATACTTAATTTTTACATATCCCAGTCTCTGTATGTACCTGCATAGACAAAGAAAAAACAGACTCCTGCTTTCTTTATGGAAGGGTTTCCAGGACTGCGTGTCTGCTCCTGAGCTCTGTTTTAAGTATGTGTATCCTTTGCTTGTATTTTGTATTAAAAAATAAGGAAAAGAACCCTTTATTGTTGAGCATGTTGGCATTGTCCCCTTTTTTTTTCTTTTGGGGACATGAAGCAAGTTATTCTTTTTCTGTATCTTTTTTTCTTTTGTAAACTTTGTTTTGTTTAAAAATGGCTTTATAAAAGGGCTTTTATAACCCAGATATGTGCTCTGTGTACTTCTTGGAATACTTACACAAATACACTGACAGCTGATCGCCTGGGCCTGTCAGCTCCCAGTCCAGCCTGTTGGGGAAAACCTGCTTCCCGAATGAATTCTTGAGGCTCTTAACAGTGGCCATCACTCTAGTTGGTGACGAGAAAACCAAGTCAAAAAGTTACAAAGTGTGGAGGTCAAATTCTTAATTTAGGATAATTATACTCAACAAAACAAACATTTGCATTCAATTTTAAGTACCCATAGGAACTTCATTATATTGTAATTTTAGAATAAAATACTACCTAGGTGGTGAATATGGTAGAGGGTCCTATTTAGAATTGGGCTGATATTCTAGCTATTCGGGTTTTATTCTTTTCAGCCTTGCCCCTTAGTTACATTCTTGCCTTGTCATTGCAAATATTTAATTAACATGTAGACTAAGCTTAACTTTGAAATTTAATGTTTTTTGCATGCTCTTGACCCTCTGGCTAATTTCTTATAGTTATTTGTCTCAGGTGGAAGTTGACTTTGGAGAATGTAACCAGACACTCATAAATATGATTAACATAACAGATTTCTGTGTCAGTACAATGCTGAAGAAATGCAATCTGGTGTAAAGGATCTCAAACCCAGGGACAAGCAGGTTTGGTAAAACACATTTGGAGCTCCCTCGACTCTTATTCATGAGATTACTATGCAGTAATTTAAGACTGGCTGTACAGTGCTTTGTAATTCATAGAGTGCAATTTACATAATACCTCAGTCAGTTTTCCCAACGACTGTGAGACTGACCAGATGTTCCTCAATTTTGTTGGTTGGGGGGAAAAACTGGTTCAGGTAGGATGTGCTTTGATCGGGCAGGTGTGGCCCAAAGGTTTGAATCCGGCCATTAGTTCTGTGTGCTTGAAGTTGTCACAGCTCCCATTATCTTGTATAAATGGGCCCCTTG